TCACGTTAACCCGTCTTCAGCGTTTCCGTTGAATCCGAAGGGAGATCCCTGTTCGATCCTTCATTTCCTTTTTGTCTCTCAAATCACGCAGTGTCCGATCAACGTTCCGCTATTCGTTTCTTGATATACTAACGGCGGTATAAAACGGGTAGTTTTTTCTCGATCGAGTCGGCATAAATCGATTTTATTCGGTCCAATTTTCCATCTTCTCTCGTTATCGGGAAATTGTCGAACATCAAGGAACGAAAATGATATTGTCGCTGTTATGACAAAATTATGAACGCGTAAACTTTCAAGTCTTCAATAAAGACGTAGACCGAATATCTCTTTATTTTTGTTCTTCTGTAATTTAGGTAAATTAAAACGATAAATACAGTATAATAAATTTAACCACGATGATTATACTCTAAACTTGCTATACTTTAACCGCACGATATTGGCTTTAGAGAGACGATGTTGCCACCCTGCCCTAATTTCTTCGCTATTAAATGCGTAAATCGCTGTGTATACACGTGTATCATACGCATACGCATATGTTTCAGGTCCCATTTTAGATGTTCTCGCTCATTTCGTAGAGAGACGAATGCCCGCGTGAACACGAGCTTCGATTCATTTTCAAATCGATAAAATAACGAAACTAGACGAAAGAGATCAGACTGAACCTTTGAGTCGCTGACTAGTCGAGGATTGACATTCCTTAATATTTTTCTACTAACTCTCGCTAGGATCTTTCCTCTTCTATCTACTAGGCAAATTGCAATTGTAAAATCGACCTATAAATCGTCATACAATAAACCTGCAGTAGATAAGGGGCGAAAGAATCGTGATCGTGAGTTCCTGACATCAGCAGTTTGCCAGTTTCCTTTCAGGCTGGATAGAGAGTACTGATGTTTTTCTACGAGAGAACTTATTTTCGTATACTGTAAGAGATTGTAGCGCATCGTTGATCTTATCAGATAGAAAATAACGTAACGACAGAATTATACACAGTTAAAAGGATTGCGAGCCATCTGAGTCGCAATTAAGAAGGTACACCGTATGCAGATACCTTTCTCTTTTATCTTTACATCTTTCTACTCGCTTGAATCGAGCATTCGTAACAGATCGATATTATCCGGAAATTTCCACTCTTAATTGACAATCGCCTGAATTAGGAAGACCGGAAAGAAAATAATTGGTCGATAATCGATTTTAATTCATCCTATAAGAGGAAATTCTAATTACAGGGGGAATTCGATTGCATCGAAACTAACGTATCGTTAATTTTGATTCTATTAACGAATCTCTATTTTCGTCAAATTGATGAAGTCTCCTATTCAACATCCGTTTCGCGAACTCCTTGATCGAATTAAAGTCAGACATTTTCGTAATCTCGATTGGACTCGAGTTTCCAGTATATTTTTAGAAGTCAGGGGGTTAATTGATAGAAACGCTAGATAGAAACGGTAAATGACCCATACCAAAATTTTTTAAAACAGACAAGTTTATTCTGTTAACGTTAAACGAAATACTCTAACGCGACCGAACATTTATATCCCGCAGATAAATAGATCTCGCGTCTCAGGATTCGAGCATGGTAAAATTAAGCAAGACAGCAATGCCAGAATATTAGATGATTGTATAAAAAGAATAAAAAGTATATAAAGCAAGAAGAGAGCATTTAATTCGAAATTTAAAACGAAGTAAATCGATACAGCGACGGGATTAATAAACACAAACGAAATGCCCAAATCAAGCCATATACAATACTAAGCGTATGTTCATTTTTTAAAGGATAGGTCAGCAGACCGGAGCTAAGGTTTCTAAAGATTCTACTGACTTCACGAGCACACCAGCCCACAATAAGCGAATAACGTTCAAGGTTCTACGTGTCGCCAGGAAAGTGTATCGTTGAATCGTCTTGTATCAAATAGAACACAGTCTAAATCCTTATAGTCGATGATAGAAGTTTGTTTTTAAAAAATGGAACCGTTTCGACCAGGGCTAGACTAGACTAGAGTATAATTTGACTAGTTCCTTCGTTTCGTTCTTTTGAAAACCTCGTGGCACGACAGATCGGTTCAATCGTTTAGTAATTACAGGAAATTTTAAAGATACATTTTCCTCGTGACGTCGTATACTGCGATGCGACTCGTAGTGCTGACGAACAGAGTAAATTTCCGTTTGCGTGACGACACAAGACGGCCACATGAAGCGAGAGTCGACACGAACGAATTACAAGGAAGATGGAACAAGAGGAGACGGAAGAAAAAAGAGAAAGGATGGAAGCAAAACATTACGAAAATGAGAAAAAAGCGAAAAAAAAGAAGAAGTACGTCGAAGCTGCACAAAAGGGAACATAAAAGCCTGTGTATGCCTTTCGACGTCCTTTCGATTCTCTTTCTACGCGTATTCCTTACATGTCTTTCCGTCCTCGCACGGTCAGTGAATAAAAAAGAAACCAAAAAAAAAAAGAGAAGAAAAATAATCAATTACTTTTGTAGATTTATTTTTAGCAGTAAATTTTCCTATATGAAACTATCTCTCTTCGAATCGAAACAAACCAAAGAGCGTTTCAGACACGGAGCCGTTGTATACTGATTTTTATCGCGTGAATCATGCTAGTAGTATGTCACAGTGTAAAATGTAACTATCGTTCGCTATTTATAAGGATAATACTCTCCAGCAGTTTGGTCCTTATTTTAATTAACATCGTTTATTACATCGTCATCACATGTTTAATTAGCGAACGATGGATTTTCTCTTCATCGCGTTTCTGACCCAAAACCGGCGAAAGTTGTATTAAGTTGTATCAACGCACTCGGTTGCATTTATACACGACGAGAGTACAGTGCATTGCTCGCTATCAAAAGTTTTTTAGTACCACACTATACCGGCGAGATATATATATCAAAGGTTAATCGCTTATCGTCACGCGAACGTTTATTTTTACTTGTTTTTTCGATTTTTCTTATCCCTTTTATGGTGAAATTCTACTAACAAATTGTTTCGATGAGTTAAACGTCAAGGATTACATGGATGCGATAGTTACGGCAGAATATTGTGGGATACTACTGCCAAACTGATTCTCCCTCTGCGAAAATACGATTATATAGAAAAAAAAGAGAAAAAAATAGGAAATCTGTTTTCTCGACGAGCTACTATTACTTAGCGAAGATATAAGAAAAAAAAGATAAAAAAGACCGAAAAATTGCATTGGGAAAAAACACATATTATATACACACAGAGAGACATACACACAAAGTCACCGCATAAGAGTAACGACTATAAATTCCTAGTTCTTTTTATATAAAACGATACATGCAGCGCGAGTAGTCTGTATTGATTTGTGCAGTAAGTCGTATAAATATAATACGATACTCAAAGTAATTGGCTTCCTAGCTAGGATTAATCGAATCTTAGGGATTATATACGTTTACGAATGCAAAGTAATGGATATACGTATTTAGTAGATTGTATATAGCGATGTAGTCAAATATTAAGAGTCGATCGTCTGTTTAAGAAAAAGCCAGAATCAATTGCATACAGTTCAATCATGTATATGTTGAGAAACATCAGTTTTCTTTACTCTTGTTTGGAACAACATGAATGAAAGTCACGAGGCTATCAAGAATCAAGATACAAACTGTACAGTTCATCGTTAGACTTCAGATTTGATCTTTTGTCTTTCTCGTAATCGTATCAGTCTGGGCAACAGGGTATTCTTAGCATCGTACGTTATGACGCATAGATTACTACCAAAGAAACTATTTATTACATGACATGTTTATTAATGCGCATTGCTAATGATGTACATTTTTGAATACATATTTTGTTCCTTTTAGTTCTATCACATATGATTTGGTATCATTAAAGAAAAAACGAAAAAAAGAACGCGAAAGGAGAAAAATTGCATTCCAGATAATCGAAGGTTCTTTCTTAATCAGGCCATCGAGTTATCGTTGAATGTATTAAGCTACAATAATAATATGAAAGCTTACACCTCGCAGACATACAGCCTCTGCCACTAAATGTATATAAGGGTATACTATATGTAAAACATACGACAGATAGCGTTAATTGATTTTTAAACCGATCATTTAGAAAGGCAACTATGTTACTGCAAGCCGCCCAGAAATGAAAACCTACACGCTACCTTTAATTAGAATAAGCTTTGAAACTTTTGACTAAACGAGAAATTGATGTACTGGTTTTCATGTTTTGATTCGTTCCTTTGATTCGTTCAATCATCAGATCGTGTATTTGTTAAACGAACGAAAGACTCGTATCTCTATGTTTTAGTCAAACATATATTCAGATAACAATGAATAACGATCCCATAATGAAAAAGGCTTTAAAAAAATTCAACATGTGTAGTAATTTGTAACTGATTGATATTTAAATGTAACATGTATATCGAGACGAATGAAAGAGAGGGAGCTTTGAATAGTGCCTGCTTAAGAAACCTAATTTACTGTATCTGTAAATGGTTAGATATGGTATGTACGTTATTTCGTACACGGTAAACCTAATAGGACTACCGTAGCCAAGTATGGATAAAAGTGTAACTAGAATATAAAATACGTTCGTTATACTTTCATAATCATGCATATTATTATGCATAACGGAAAAAGTTTATCTCGAATTTTTTTTAAGAAATCCTCATAAATACTTTTTTCAAAAAGACATTAAGAACAACTTAGAAGAATTTAATTCAAATGACTATTCCTTTTTAAAATGTTCTATCTTATATCTTAATTTCAATATATTGCATGGACATAGTTTTCTACCTCTGGCTTTAATCATACTTTATGATTTTTATATTATATTATTCTATCAGATCACTCTTCCCTATACTACACTATGAGTTCATATTATTCAATACATATTCTTAAATGTACATAAAACCTATGTGGTCGTAACTGTATGTAAATACTGTTAAACGTTCTATAACTTCTCTGAAATATGAATACAAGGAAAATTGGTTATTTAGTATAATTCTGACTTGAGACTTGACTTACTTTTATCTCGGATTCCTTCACTTGCAACGTCGTATCCATTATAGCTCCACCAATTACAATCTATGACATAAACAAATTACCCGATGAAAATAAAATGACTAATATCTTATATATTTTTTAAGGTAAACAAATATTTTTGTTTTATTTACTGGATTTCTTTCTGATGTCAGAATGCACTTGGAAGCACTATCGTTGAAAGAGCTCTGAAAACTCTTTTTAGCCAAATTCACTGCAATTTCTGCTGCAACACTTGCATTGTTTTCTATGAGTGCCATATCTGTTGATTTTAAAAAGACAAAAATTAAGTGACAAATATTAATCTTGCTTATGCTTTCTTAATTTTTATATCAATGGACTTATTTATACTTACTAGCTCGAAGAGATTGACCATGTGTAACCTTATTTAATTCTTCTAGCAAAAATGGTGTGACATTCTTTCCACTTACATTTTTACTTTTTGCATTTTCTAAAGCATTACATATAGCCAATTCCATTTCTTTTGAATCTAATGCATATTCTGTAGGAATAGGGACAGCAAACAATAATCCTGTTTGAAGACCTAATTCCCTTTGTGCTTTAAGAATCTTTGTTGCTTCTTCTGAATTTGATACTCTATGTGGCACTTTTGTCTTTTGTAATGATTCAGTGCAGTAAAATGCAGGAAAATAGTTTGTTTCACCAATTTTTATAACTGGAACTCCTTGTGTTTCCTACAAATGGAGACAATTACAAATCTCTATTGTAATAATTATTATTTTTTATGCAAGAAAATATATTAACCAGATATTCTAATGTCTTCTCAATATCTAATATAGATTTAACACCAGAACAAACAACAGCTACAGGAGTACGCCCAAGCTCTAGTAAATCAGTACTAATATCAAAACTCTTTTCTGCACCACGATGGACACCACCAATGCCTCCTGTTGCCATTATAGGCAAATCTAATAAATTTGAAATTAACATTGTTGCACTAACAGTTGTTCCTCCATTTAGTTTTTGGGCAACAACTGTTGATATATCTCTACGTGAACACTTAATAGTTTTAGTAGAATCTGATTTAGCTAGTATTTGTAGTTGTTCATCATTCAAACCAACATGTATCTGTCCATTTAAAATTCCTATAGTTGCAGGTATAGCACCCTAAAATGATATAAAAGTATAATGTAAAAGAAGCAATATTTTTCTTTCTTTAGAATTCATAAACAATTACTTTTTTTCTAACAGTGTTTTCTACTTGAATGGCTGTTTTCAAATTATCAGGATAAGGCATTCCATGAGTAATGATTGTTGATTCTAAGGCCACAATTGGCAGCCCATTTTTTTTTGCCACTTCTATATCAGAACTACAAACAATCTTGCAATTGCTGCTGGCATTACGGTTATTTAGTGAATTAATCCTTTTCACTGCTTTAAGCAATCTTTGACTATTCAACCACTGCATCTTTATGTTTTTAGGTAGATATGAGTAATATAAAAAGATTCAAGAAACATTCATACAACTTGCTGCTTATCATTTGACAATAGAATGAAATGGTAAGTTAACAATAATACGTTGAACATTGATAATATAGTAATATCTACAAATTATAAAGACAGTGTATGGATTCTTTACACATATGATTAACCTATATAAACTTCTTTTCTCCCATCAGTCCCCATAGGACAGCAAATAAATGTATTATAAAATAAATTCGATGTAAATTTCGATAACAAATCTTTTCGATCTATCGACTTTATATATTGGGAGCTTAATTCAACAAATTTTAAATCGATAATTAATCATAAATATTTTATATCTAGAACAATATCATAATAATTTTTCACTGCTGTCATGTGTAATTATTTAAGATAATTTAGTCGAAGATAATTTTGGTAATTAGTAAAATATTAATTACATCCTAATTTTATTAGAAAAATTAATTTACTTCTAATTTTTTATTGTTTATAATTTCTATTAGTTAAAAATATTCTTAACACGTTGAATGCCACGCCAGTTTTACAAGGTTTGGCCGTGGCTCCACAATGAATTTTTTTATTATACGATACATATAATGTTGAAATATTACCTACAAGAGATATGTTACGGTGTATAATCATTATTAATGAATTTATCTCACTGAGGTCACCGGTGACCCCCATGGCGCTGTAGTGCAATTTCGCTCGATCCACTTAATTTTTGCGATTATCAGTTATCTCATATTGTTTCTTCGCGTTGCTAAATAATTTTTCTATACTGTTACGTCTCGGGACCTACCATAAACCATAATCCATCCCTCGGTCATACTTATTCGGACCCGCAATAATCCTAAAGAACCATCACAAGATTTAGCATTTTTTACCTTACTGTCAAGCCCCTTAATTGCCATCAAACATCTTACAAGTTGAAACGTTCCTTAGGGTTATTGTTCATTAAGGTAAAACACGGAAAAAGCGGGGTTTTCCCATGTCCGACGGCCACTGGTGGGGGGCGCACATAATAGATCTATATTTCATGTATAAATAAAACTATTTTTATACATTCTATACTGCATTCATTTCGTCACACCATTGTAGTAACGGTGGTAATAATAAAAAATTTATGACTATTGACATTTCTTCCAATTATATATTTTTACTAATCTTGGTGCGCCGGTCACCGGTGACCTCCGTGGGGCCACGGTCAAGTTGAGTGCCGGTCACCGGTGACCCCCATGACATTCAACGTGTTAAATATAAATATAAAGTGTCGGACAAAATGGTAGGACACTTTACCTATTTGTGTATTTCATCTTGTTAAAAGAAGGAAATATTTCGCATATCCTATATGTTGAATATTTCCAGAATAACACATTAAATTTCATATTCATACGATAATACATATACAATACATACAATGAGGAAGTTAGGGGAAAAATAAGCATGGACTGATATTAATTGGATAGTTAATGTTAAGGTTGATAGTTCTATATTCAAACGTATATACGTAATATTCAGTTAATATTCTCTCTCTTTGCTCGATTAATATTCTCTCGTTTTGTTTGGTTAATATTCACAGGGTCATCCCCACTATTACCTGGAATTGACCCGCTCGGAGTTCGCCCGAGGCGATCGTCCGTGTTATCTAATTGGTAATCGATGGTGTCAAGTTACCAAGTCATTGTATGAAGAAAAATAGAATTTGTTTTTTTACCTTATTATTATGAAACTATTTTAATCAGATTGCTGAGGTTTTAGCAATGGAAATGATACCGAACATGACTACATTCGAATGACTTTGGACTATTCGGATTAATCACGATTAAGAAAAAAAATGTAAAACGAATATTATAATTCATTAGCATTTTTCATTCAGTTTCTTGATAATGTAGAATAAATCACTTTTTCGAATGATGTCCTAAAAAATTGTGTTATTTGAGCAATTCTTGGAATGCACTTGCTCGGGTAACACGGACCTGACAAACATTAATCATTTAGCAAGCAAGAGACAAGTGAAGTCTACGAGACTACGCAGCTTTATCCAAATTCATAATTTAGTGGTGTCTTTAAAAAAAAAGAAGAAATAGCAATGAGTCGTGAAAAACGTCTTAAACGGTGGAAAATTGAAGAAATGATTCGTTTATGATCAAACAATTATGCAATTACCTAAATTCACAAAATAATAAAGTGGAGTCGTAATGTGATATTACATAATCAATCACGATACAATCTCTTAGGAAACTCTGAAAGAGATTTTCATTTCGTAGTCGAATAACTACTGACAGAAATTGTAAGAATGGAAAGTAGGTCAGGTAAGTCTTATAATTTTTTCTAATCAAATACAGCCCAAATTTATATTTCTAACTTCTTTATTGTATGTCATGAACTTAAGATTATATGTATATTTTCATCTTTTAATTACATGAAATATACAAATAGGTATGTAAGGTGTCCTATCATTTCATCCCGCATTGTATAGTAACTCTCCTTTTTGAACTAAAATCTACAAATATCATTAAATATTTTACTAATACATATAATAAAACATCGAATATCATAGTACTGAAAACCTCGATAGAAAAACATAAACATGTTGCAATTTCTCATAAAAATATAATATAATCGATTAAAGATCAAAATTAACAAATAATTAAGGAAATATTAAATATTTCAAATACTTATTTTTTAAATAGTTCTTGAAAACTTCGAATTTTTTTATTGTTAATATGATTATATTTTTAATAGATATAGATATTAAAAAATTTAAGGTATACAAATCTATATGTGCGGAGCACGTTTATTTGCTATGTTATTGCAATTTATTACGTCAAAATTTATTTATGAATTCAGAAAGGAAATGGCAATTCATTAACATATTAATATTGAATTAATTTTATAATTTACATTTTTCTTGACGTATATAAGTAGAAGAGTGTAACACGTACGTAGACCGTAGTGGTACACATTGTACATATATGGACATACAGTCAGTCTCGAAAACATTTAGACACTAGCCCAACTTCATATTCTACTTGATGTAAAAAGAAGTGAGTCTTTATGTCTCAGAAATATTCGGACAATTTATATATTGATGTTAAAAGATCTAAACTGATAATTTTTTTATAAAAGTTTGATATATATATCTGGGACTCCTCTTGGTTAATAACATATTTTAAGCACTTTAATATGTTGAAGATTATGTTTTGTTAGTAATCGAGATTGTATTTTATTCCTCTATTATACGAATTTACCATTTTTCTTTATTTATTTATTGTTGTCTTTTACTAATTCTACGGTCCAGATCATTCCATATTTCTAGTCATACTTCTGTAAGAATAAATACAAGAATATTAGGCCATATCAAAAATTTAAGTTAAACAAAAAGCAACAATAAATATTAAAGAAAAATGATTAAATTCGTCTAATTTATACATACTCAGTATAAAATAAAGTTCCCGAAAAGCATCTGTATATTTGGATTAATCTCAAGAATCACTGGACGGACATTGGTGCGATTTTCATTATTTTAAAGCGCATTTCTCGAATAAGGTTTAGGTGTGAAACATTAACCTATGACGAAAGGAAGCAGGAGTCGAAAATATAAACCAGAGATTACAGATATTCACAACGCAACAACGACCTTCTTCGTTACAATCGTATTTTGTTTAAAATCTGCCACGATATAGCGAGGAAATATGATCCCTCCTTCGAGCAATGTCTTTCTCTTTTCGATGTGCGGCATGTCTGATGTTTCACGACTTCACTGTATGACAATCTGTGTTATTTCGCGAACTGCAGAATAATTACCGAGCCAATAGAAATTCACAAAATCGTCAGCCATTTTATTAAAAAAGATTATATGTATAAGATTTCGGGCAAAGATAGGGTATATCAGAGGCTAATAAAGGATTAAAATACAGTATCGATTACTCACACAAGATGATTTTTAATAGATTAAATTATTTAAGATAATTATTGAATAAAAGTAATCGGATAAAATATTACACTTTTATAAAAAAAACTGCCATTTCAGTCCTTTTAACGTCAATTTATAAGTGCCCAAATATTTTTGAGGCCGGCTATATATAGTTTTGCATATTGTACTGGATTTTTTCTAACATTGGAGGGACAAAGTCATTCACATTAACATTTTTACAGTTTTAGAATTTATTCTTAATTACCAAGGTGAAGTTCGTAGAAGGTAAGAATATTGCGCCAATTTACACGTTTTACACAATGTATTATACCTTTTCCCTAAAAGTAAATTTCTAGTTTTCAATACTAATTAAATATCATATATCAATCATGTGTCAATTTGTTTAAATTTTATCATTTATAAAATATCAGAGAATAAATAAGAAAATATTAGGTCTTTTCAAATTCAAGCTATATAGGAAATTGCTACGTTCCTGCTCGGGTTAAATGCTGTATGTACATATGTAAATATGTATGTATGTATCAGTAGCGTACTACACTTACATACTATACTTGACTCGACCCGTATTCGCCAGTTCACGTTGTACATCCGACGAGTTATGAATTTGAAAGGCACGTAGAAGTATAATAATTATTTATTATTACTGTTATAAATAAGTAAAGTCACACTGAATTAAAAAATATAAATATGAAATCGAAGAAAACAAATAACGTCGGATTATTGTATTTAAAGACTTATAATTTGCTACAAGTATTTGGGTAAGTATTATTACTTTCCTCGCTTTCACCAAATTATAATGAAGTGATTATAAGAAAAAACATTTTATTGTTATTCAAGTTTCACTAATTAACATTTCTGTAATTTCTGCTATAATGTTTAACAATCTAATCTTAATTGAAAAGTATGTTTAATAACTTTGAGATGAAAATAGGTATTATAGAGAATATTGTTAAATATATTAAAATAATTATGTATATTTGCAGTTGGAGTTATATACTTTATAAATTTGTAGTGAATGATTTTTCTTCTACGACAGAAGCAAATTTGTGGCAGAATGTTAAATGGCCTGTTGTTATTTTTCAACATGCTGCTCTTTTAGAAGTAAGCAATAATATTCATCTTGGTTTTGTTCATAAAAGATTGCTTAATAAAGCATATCTTTATTATAGATAATCCATGCTGCAACTGGTTTAGTTAAATCAAACCCTGTACTTACAACTTTTCAAGTGTTTAGTCGTATTATAGTAGTGAGTGGTGTATTGTTGGCAACTCCAAATAATTATGCGGCGTCATCTTATGGTCTTCCATTAGCCATCTTAGCATGGTCAATAACAGAAATAATTCGATATTTGTTTTACTATATGAATCTCAATGAATTTGTTCCTTATTTTCTCACATGGCTAAGGTATGTAATTTAATCACTTCATAGATTTTTTATATAATAAATAATATCTATTCATTAAATATTTTATTTATTAATAATACCTATTTTTCAGTATTCAAAATTGAAATGTTTTAATTATTACAGGTATACGTTATTTATTGTATTGTACCCAATAGGTGTAACTGGAGAATTATTATGCATATATTCAGCTGTAAATTATGCAAACTCTCATCCAGAATTCTGGAGTTACAAACTTCCTAACTCATGGAATTTCATATTTAGTTATTATTTCATTCTTATAACTATTATGCTATCATATATTCCTCGTAAGTTTCTGAAAAATGTATTATCATATCATATATTGATTATATAATAATTTCTTCTCTTTATATTACAGTTTTCCCACAATTATATTTGCATATGTTTGCTCAAAGACGTAAAATTATAGGAGGTGAAACATCCAAGAAAGCGAATTAATATAAAGGAAATTTTGATATATTTTATTAATATTTTATAATATTTATGATAAAAATAAATATTACAATATATAGCATGACTGTTCCTGATTTAGAATACCATCTGAAAATTATATACCTTGTGATGTATTATAATCCATTATAAGCAAATTATTACTTAGTTATAATAACATTAATAAGATTAAAACAGTTTTTAGGAATAAAGATTAAAATTATTTAATTATGAATCAACTATCATAAAATATTAGACATTTTTAATAACATTTAAAATTACTTGCTATAATTTTTATTATAAAATATATTATAAATTCATGAGTAGAAAGATCATCTGTACTATCCCCTCTATCTATATATATACTATGCTATCATATTATTAAACAGGATTTACTAATTAGATAATAAATATCATGTATATTAGTTTTAAAAAATGAGGATTTTATATTATTTACATTATTTATAGGAATAGCTACTCGAAATAATACTTATAATTTGCAAAAATATCATTCGATATACATATGTATTAAAAAAACAAAATACAAAATCATAAAGTATTGCCTGTATGAGTTTTATCGAACGCGCGTCATTTGATAACCTATTCTAATCATATGTTCACAAGTAAATATATGAATAACACTATTTCTTTAGTGTGACAACGATAATAATTTTACTTAACATTAGTTGAAGAAGTTACACGAATTTAGAAACATGTCCGGAAACATGTCCGAACACAATGATGACACGGAAAAAGGTAACGTTTTCAAACTGTCATTTGTCTTACATAATGAAATTCAATTTTTCTTGTATATCAGTTTATAATCGTTATTTAATTGTTTAATAAAATTCACAAGATTAAATTTTCTATTTCACTACATATATTTTTTAAAAAGCAAAAACTTAAATAAATTTTCAATTGAAATCCTTAATTTCATAATTTAGAATATCGAAACATTATTAAATGACAAAATCAGTATCTTTTATTATAGTATTATAGTGCTTTCTGATTTTTTATCTATTTACGATAATCCAAATTATTTATCTAATAAACGCAGATAAGTGGAACATGATTACGATAGAGGTTAACTGTCATCCATAAGAGTTTGAAACCTTATTAATTAAATAATATGGTAAAATGAATTAAGTGAAATTATTGTTCTACACTGATTGTTATAATCTCAGAGTACCTAAATTTTCATATCATCGTAAAATTTTAGGTAATTGTTAAATGACACGTGTCTTTATTGAGTTAAATTATAATTATAACATCACGATGTCTGATTGCAGTGTGTCAAAATGTTTCCGCAGATCATTTTTCCTTTAATTAGCCGTCAGCGGCAATTACTCGGCCAACAACTCTGGCGAAAATCTGTATTTATGTATTTTTATTGCAACGAGTACAATGAATTTATTTCTTTAAGTAACTTATCTAAATGTCTTTGTTTTCTACATTAAATTTATTGTTTTTTTATTATTTCAAAAGGTTAACAGTGCATGTTACATTTTTGAAAAATAGGAACTAGACAGTCGTGATATATAAATATGTGACAAAATTTAAAGTATTTAATTTATTCTTATTTGTCAAATTGTTTTACTAACAAATATTACATTCATTTATAGCGTTAATTTGTATATTGCTATATATATTGTTCATTTATTTGTATCAGAGAAGAAATCAAATGAGGAGGCTACAAACAGTTCTTCAGAACAAGAAGAGGTAGAAGATTCTGATATGGAAAAGATTCGGAAATATTTGGCACAAAAGTTAAAACTTTTTGATTCATCAGATTATGATGAACAGTCACAGCAAAAAGTCCTCCGTGAACTTAATATAGATGGAGTGGTAGATTATATAAAAGAAACTGAAAACTGTAAAATTATTACTATGGCTGGAGCTGGTATCTCCACATGTATGTTTTAAGAAATATTCCTAGTCTTGAATTAGTTGTATATCTATATATAATTTTGAATTATATATATTAGGTATATTGCACAAAAATGCTTCTTTTTTTTTATGTTTTTTAGCTGCAGGAATTCCTGATTTTCGATCACCATCAAGTGGTCTTTATCACAATTTAGAGAAATATAATCTACCTCATCCTCAAGCTATTTTTGAGTTAGATTTCTTTATGGAAAATCCTGAACCATTCTTTATGCTTGCAAGAGAATTGTTACCTGAAGGTTTTAAACCTACACCATCCCATTATTTCATCCGTCTTTTATGGGAAAAAGGACTACTTTTGAGACACTACACCCAGAACATCGATACATTAGAAAGAATGGCTGGTTTACCTCCTGAAAAATTAGTAGAAGCTCATGGTACATTTCATACTGGTCGATGCCTTAAATGTAGAGCACCATACACTCTTCCATGGATGAAAGGTACAACTTTTTTCTTATATATATTTTTTAATGTTATAGTAAGATCATAATTGTTACAATTAAATACATACTTTAAACCTCAGTACCTATTTTCAGAAAAAATTATGGAAGGTGTTATACCAAAATGTGAAGAATGTAACGAAGGTGTAGTAAAACCTGATATAGTGTTTTTCGGGGAAATGTTACCCGAACGTTTCCATTTCCTTATCGATCGGGATTTTGCACAAGCAGATCTTTTGATAATTATGGGATCAAGTTTGGTAGTGCAGCCTTTTGCATCTTTAGTAGATAGGTATGTATTATTTACAAGTATCATATTGTTTCCTTCATTCTCCACATTCAATTAATTATAATTTCAATTTCTTTGAAGGGTGCGACCCAATTGTCCACGCCTACTTATCAATAAAGAAAAAGTAGGTATGCAAGATCGCTTATCGCGACTTTTAGGACTGCGACATGGCTTGATCTTTGATACACGAAGTTCTCATGGCGGTCGTGATGTTGCCTGGTTAGGTGATTGCGACACTGGCTGTCAATTATTAGCTGAAAAGTTGGGCTGGGGCGTACGTTCCATTAAATTTAAATTATATTTTTAGTATGCTTTAAACTCAGAAATATGTCTTATATAAATCTATTTTCTTTTTTAGGATGAATTAAAAGATCTTATAAAAAAAGAACATGAACGTTTAAGTGCAGAACATACCAATAAGGATTAAGCTCATCAATTGTCTTATTACAATGTAAATTTAGTTTTTTAGATTACTTGAGATCTAATTTTGCTGCTATTTCTTTGAGGACGAAGAAATTATATAGATGAATAATATTTTGCTTCAAAGGAATTGTAAAAACATTGTTTAGAATGTTAAACTTTTATCACAACGATATTGAAGAGTCATTATTTTACTTGTATCTATGTCATCATTTCTTTCTATAGTATATTATATTAAATTAATGGTGAAAATTAGAATTTTTGAACAAGTAATTTTTCATACAATTAGCATTTGATAGTACATTCATGTCATGGATATATTTTATTAATAATAATGTTGATCCATTACAATAATGATCGCTTAATGACATGTAAATAATTTATTTCCTCATATAGTATATAATGATGTTATGCAAATAAATGTAACTTTTGGCAGTTGAATTATATGTATAAATAAAACAGAGTAAAACATACAATACAAAATTCATTTCATATTAAAGGGTTTCACGGTTACTTCCTGAGCTTCCTGCTGATGTAACTTTCCCGCACCTACAGCTGTTGCAGCCATGGGTTTACGACCGCTATATTTTATCTGTAAGTCACAAAATTATTTTTACAAATATGTATCTCAAATATTACTTAAATTATTAACTTACTAGTCTGCCACATAAATTTTCGAATCGAGATTTGACAAAATTCCATGCTCCCATATTTTGCGGTTCTTCTTGACTCCATATGAAAGCTTAAGGAAATATTTATATTAATATTTTAAAATATATTTAAGCAATTTATTTTGTATAACTTACTCTTGGCGTATTTATATCTATCGATCTCTTGCAATAATTCTTGAACTGGAAAAGGGCATAAACTCTCGACTCTAATAATTGCTACATTCTTTTGATCTGTGCTTTCTCTAAAGTTATCAAGAGCATAATAGTGTTTACCGCTCACAAGGATCACTTTAGTCACTTTTGATTCTTCTACCTTTTCATCTCCTGTTAAATTATTATTTATTAAATTATTATTTTATTTCATTTGGAGTCAAATATAGCTAAAGGAGGGAGAAAGATGAAGACAAAGAGAGAAAGAAAGAGAGGGAGAGATCATTTTTTTTATTGTATTCAACATACCAATAACGGTCTTAAATCTAGTCTGTGGTTGCATATCTGTTATTGGCGAGGTTGCTGCGATATGGCGCAGCAATATTTTCGGAGCCACTATTATTAAAGGTTTTCGAAAATTTCTTACCATCTAACAGAAATAAAGACAATTTATTACATTAAAAATATAATTAAGGATCTATTAGAATAAGGATCTTACTTGTCTCCTTAATAGATGAAAGTATTGAGCCGGTGTCGTAGGATTTGTCACACATATGTTAACATTATCACCATCAGGTTTATCTTCGTTACTGTCCGTAAGTTGTAAAAACCTTTCAAGTCTGGAGGAACTGTGTTCAGGACCAGCGCCGTCGTAACCATGTGGTAAAAGTATCGTTAATCCGCTACTTAGCATCCATTTTGCCTCACCACTGGTTACAAAAGTATCGATTATGATCTGTGCTCCATTAAAAAAATCTCCAAATTGTGCCTCCCATATCGTTAAGGTAGTTGGCATAGCTATACTCATGCCATACTCGTATCCTAAGACTGCTTCTTCAGACAGAATACTATTAGCTAACTCTAATTTTCCTGTTTGTCCCTCGACCATTGAATTTAGTGGAATATGTATATCTAAAATCATGATTGATGATAAGACTTTTATTAATTTATGATTAGAATCATTTTATAAATACCTCCAGTGGATTGATCAACAAGCATGGCATGTCTATGGGAAAAGGTACCACGACCAATGTCTTGCCCGCTTATTCTTACATTATACCCTTGATATAATAAAGTTCCAATTGCTAAAGCTTCGGCAGTAGCCCAATCCAAATGTTCACCACTCGCTATTTTTTTTAATCGAGATTGAACATGGTTTTTCAATAATTTGGGATGAATTATCTGTTGCATGATAAAATGGTACGTTCAGTTAGCTGAACAATTAGGGAATCAATTAGGGAAAATGAGCAGCATTTATTGTATAACCTATGTTCTCACCGAGTCATCGTCAATGTGAACGCTCTTTTCGGCAATGAACCTCAATAGGCTTAAATCAACTCCCGTGTCCCACTGTGTCACGCTCGCATCAGCCTGCTGTATTTCGCTCCACAAGCCTGCAAAATAGGTAGGTTGTGGGACATAATTATCCGCTTCATTCAAACCTTGATTCAATTTGGCCTTGTGATCTTCGATGATATTTTTGGCTTTTTCCATTGGAAGAACATTGTTCTTTACTAGTTTGTCTAAATATCGATCTGGTACTGATCTAATTGAAAATAAAGTAAAGTTAATTAGATTCGACACATCCTATTATTATAATTGAGAATTACTTACGGGCGGCTATGTATAATTTTATAAATAACAGGATTTGTAAAAGCCGGATCGTCCAGTTCATTATGACCCCATCTTCTGAAGCAATTCAGATCCAGGAAAACGTCCTTCCTAAATTTTCGTTGATACTTGAACGCTATTCTAGCAGCCCGGATAACCATCTACGATATTTGAAAATTAAAAAAACTACTAACTAAAAACATACATATGTATATATATAGGAAGAAATTAAAATTCTATTTTGTATACTTCAGGATCATCTCCGTTTACATGGATCACCGGAGCGGAGATCATTTTGGCTAAATCCGTGCAGTATCTGGACGATCTACCTCTGGAAGCTGGAGTTGTGAAACCTAATTGATTATTGATCATCAAGTGAACTGTTCCACCTATTTCAAAGTGAGGAACTGCGGATAATGCTAAGCATTCTTGGTCAACTCCTTGAGCAGCGTAAGCTGCATCCCCGTGAACCTAGGATAAAAATTGAAATAAGTTCAATACATCGATTTGTTTCCAATTCTACTTTAAATTTTGTCTGATTAATTATCAAACGTCTTACTTGAATATTTAACACTTTATCGCTCCATTGAGCGTTCGCATCTTCACTATATGCTCCGTCTTTATTTGCTTGCATCATTCCTCGAGTTTTTCCCATGGAAACAGGATTTACAGCTTCCAAATGTGAAGGGTTTCGTAATACCGTAACATGGAGGCTTTTCCGATTAATATCAAGGTTTGTGGAAGATACAAAATGACTGATCACGTCACCAGTTGCGTTCACGTTATCCGGAAATTCAGAGTATCCTCGTAGCTGTCGAAATAATTTTTCCGGTGGAAAATTCAACATTCCCGTGAGAAAATTTAGTCGACCTCGATGGGCCATGGCAATTACAATATATTTTAAATCATCTGCAATTTCATTTAATTGAATATACATAAATTTAATCTTGAATCGATAAAGTATAGATAAAGAGATGATCCATGTAGTCTTTTTCTAACGATGCATTTTTATTTACCATTGGCACATAGTTTAAAAAATTCATAGTAGAAGGCCATCATGCTCTCAGCGCCCTCGCCACTGTACCTCTTAAAGTTCACGAATTTGATGGCCAAAAATTGATCGAAAGTTTGACTCTTCAACATTTCCGTTGCGATGCCGATTCGCGTTTCGTCCGTCACGGGTTCCCTTGAACTTTTTTCTACGGTCTCTGCAAACCATTCTCTTTCCTCCTCAGTCTGTGTAGACAGTAATAGAAATCAGGTACTTATACAGATCTTCTACAAAGAAATAAACTAAATAAATAAATATTCGACTTATTCTAATAGAAGAAAATAATAATGAAAGAAATAAACTAAATAAATAAATATTCCAATTATTCTAATAGAAGATTGCTTTAAATTTATTCATGATCAATTACATATTACCTCCAAGTAGCTAAATTCTACTCCTATATGGCCAGTGTATGTCTCGTTTAAAAATTTTAAAGCCTCTTCTACTGTTCCTTCATCTTTCCCCATTGATAACATCCCTCTGAATGGAACTTTATCATCCAAATTTAAACCGAATCTCTCTAGTTTCAACTCTGCCAATGGCACTGGTTTTTTTGACGCAACAGGATTTATCTCAGCCTGTTTATGACCATATTCTCTATAGGCGCTAATCAGTCTATAGAAGTTGCTGTTTTTCGATCGTATTTCCAGGTACTCGTTTGGTACTAGAAATACGAGGAAGAATAGAAAGAAAAATAATGGTAAAAACCAGTAGTTAATATTTATTTTTATCGTATATGGATGTTAAATCATTTTTACGTTATCGCGAAACGTTATCGGTTACTCTCTTGCGTAATAATAAAAATATTCCGCGTTGCGTTTATTATCTTTATCCTAGATTAGTACACTAAGCTTTTCCATATTAATTACAAGTAACTTTAAGATCACTTTAAGTAATATGAACATTACAATAAATATCTCGATATTGAAAGGAATATATTAAACGCATAATAACTTCATAAAAATATATCAACATGTTTATATGAATTTAAATGAATCATATTCAAAAAGATTAGATTTCATATTCTTTCATTATTTAAAAATGGAATTCAGATATGTCAAGTCCTGATTATATTCGTGCTATTTTTTTAAAACTGGACACCAGGAATTTGAACTTCAAATTTATTGCGCATGCGCGATGCGCACATAGGTGAGAGATTTTCACGCGATTGTTGGGCAGTTGCTTGGGAGAAAGCGGGGAATGTAAGTGTTGTGCGTGCGTTCAAAGTTTCAGTTTGGTATTTTGTGGTTAAAGCGCAGTGATTAGTGTGATTTCACGTTTTACTCTTATGCTGAAGACATGGATAACGAAATCTGAGGATATGTGCAAGGTAAGAATGATTTATTTCATAAAAATATGCATTTTCTTTCTCAATTTGAAGATGCAACGATGAAACATATTAAAGCTCACTAGCGACACAACGCGGGAATTTTAATAGTTAGTTTTCGAATTCGAATTATGAGCTTGTTCGTTAAAACCTGTCGCAAATATCAATATAGTATCGAATCCCAACTTTTTGTCAAAATGCTGGCTAAAATTTGTATTATTTTTTTATTTTTTACTTATTGTTCCAAATAAATGGAAAAATAATATTCGAAATACCTTCAAAGTGTCTTTGTGGCCTTGGTCTGTACCCATAGACGCCATTTTCACTGTGATAGAGTCGCGTATAGATTTTTAATCGGTAATTTATAGACCTCACAGCCGGATGCTTGTCTGCCCATTGAAAACGTGGGTGTTTGGTTCTACAGAATGTTCGAAGAGATGCGTGCATTCTTGTTTTCGTTACGAAATCTACAGCTTAACTGGCAGTTCTCCCTATCGCAGTGCCCAAGTGAGTTTATTACTCTTAGCTCCCCCTCTTTCGACAGACCATTATTCAACGTTATCTGTTTACTCGAGATTGCCGATATCACAAGTATGTATTATGAATGGTCGATTTATACAAAACAATATTTATTTCAATAATATTTCAATAACAAAATTTATTCTATGTAACGAGTATTGATACAAATTTCGCTAATAAGAAAATATGTCGTTCTCCATATAAAATTATACTTAAATCCAACTTTTGTATACACGTCATTTTTTATTGCTCTCGTTTGAACATGTCACAAAATTACATTCTATGTTTTTAAATATATAAACAGAAATATAACTTTGATAAAATTATATATCTGGATAAGCAGTTCCTACCAGATCGTTTCCTCTGTACTTAAATTTATAGGTGACAATGTTAAACTTCGTTCCTCCTAGAGACACCGGGCAATTTCCCTCTGGTCTCGCGTAAAAGCACACCGTGTACAGCGCCATCTCCAGTTCAGGCGAGGTACCCACGAATAGTGCCGTTACCGGTTTATCGTACCCGTTGTATTTCGTTCTTATTTTGATGATAGATGCTTTCTGAAAGAACGAACACGTACAAATACAATTGGTAACTTTTCATGTAGTATGAGTCATAGTTCTCTGGAAATACCACAAAAGAAACAATAGACAAACGTCATTATACGAATGATAATAGCTGCTGGAAGTGGAATGGAATCCATTGTATATTCATTAAAAACATCTTTCATTAATGAGCCTATTATTAAATAGAAAAACCTCTCATTTTTTTCGAAAATAATTTATCAAGAAATGATCTTACGATTAAAAAGAAAAAAATAATTTTGACAGAATAAAAATTAACTCACATCTCCAAGGTCAACTTTGTTCAAATATCCAGCATAATTTGCTTTTCCACTGCTTTCCTCTTTGCTATAGAAGATCCAATTATGCAAACCAACTACTTCGGTACCAGATGGTACACTCTTAAGTTCTGCCATGAAAACATGCTCGAAACCTGAGCTACCAATTTTTCCTTGTCCTCTAGAGAACAAGTTAAACCATATTTTTCTTATCGTGTCTTTATATTCGTAATAATCTTTGCGAATTTGTCCTTTGTCCGCTAAAAATCTCATAGCGTAGGACATCACGTTCGTGCTGAGGAACGTGTCTACAAGGAGACTCTCTTCTTGTCTCTGCAACGGGCTTATGTGCTCATTTACATTGGTTTCCGGTTTGTAATTGTCATAGATCGATATCACTCTTTGAATCGTGGGACCTTGGTACGCTTCTGCGTTTACCGTGAACAGCCTGCAAGTTGAGGTTATTTTTATGGAATCTATGGTAACTGAAAGAACATGGCAAATCAAACTAGTCTGTAGTTACACGAACTATGCTATCTAGAAATTCAAAGAACCATCAAATTAGAATTCTAGTGATGTTTAAAAAAATGTTTTTAAAATAGATCCTCCTGATGCCTAATGCTCTTCTATTAATCTCCACTATTATTCTTGCTGTAGTGTATAACAACTCTCCAATATTTTTCATTTGTATTTTAAAAGCTTACGGTTGTGGTGCGTCATCTGTTGTGCTACTACTGCTTGTTTGCTTCTGTAGATTTAGCGTGATATATCTGTTCGCATTATTGTTATCCTTAATGAAGAGAGCCTCGGAAAGTTTCTCCAAGTCTTCATCAGTGATAGTGTTTCCTTTGCTAAAAGTAGGATTACTAGAGTAGGTTTTCTTATTTGCTGCTGCTGCTCCTGCTACAGCTGCTCCTGCTAGTGCACCACCTGCTAATGCACCACCTGCTATTGCTCCTGTGGATGGCCCTGTTCTTCCAGGTTGAGTTGGTGTCGATGGTCTTGGTTGAGATTGACCTATACCTGGTTGGCTTGGATAATTTGGCTGATTTGGATATCCAGGTCGTGGAGCAGGTGTAGGTGAGTTAGATCTGCTGCCACCACCAGCAACATCAGCCCAAGTTCTTCCAGGGGAACCAGGACTTCCTGGTGCATTAGGAGAACCAGGACTTCCTGGTGCATTAAGAGAACCAGGACCTCCTGGTGCATTAAAGGAACCAGGACTTCCCGGTGCATTAGGAGAGCCAGGTCTTCCTGGTGCATTAAGAGAACCAGGACTTCCTGGTCTAGATGGTGCTGGCGTTGGACCTGGTTTTAACGTTACGAACAACGAAGATACTTGATTGCCTCCAGGTGCAGGTTGATTCGGAGATGGTTGAGGTTGTCCTGGTGCAACAGCTGGCTTAGAGCCCGGTGTAGGTGATCCTTGAAATAAAAGTATATCAGGATGAAAATTATTTTCTTCCACATATTAGTATGTACCTGGTGTTTGTGGACGAGGTTGAGGCTGAGGCTGAGGTTGTTGTTGAGGCCGTGGCGATGGTGCGTTTCCAGGACTCGCTACTGGCTTGGCGCCTGGAATACGTAGCCAAATTAATATTAATAAAGCTTTATCAATTGTATCTCCTTCTTCCCTACTAGTATTACGATAATTTATACCTAGCGATGGAAGTAATTCTCCGTAACATTATATACGTAATTTATTCTATTTTCCGTATAAAATCGTCATTAAATTAATTTTTACCTGGTGTTTGTGGCTGTGCCGTGCCTCCAGGTACAGAGTTCGGTTTGGAACCTACCAAGTTCACCAGATTAATTTTCACAAACTCACATATTTAAGAAAACTATCTAGAAATTCTATAACATCGATCAATTAACCTCCAGAACTTAATGCTGGTCCTTCACTAGGCAGTTTCGGGGATTGTCTTCCGGGCTCTCCAGCCCCAGTAAGATCAACAGCCCAGTCTCTGTATCCTTTACCAGTGTTACCACCGACTCCTGGATTTCCTGGTTTCGGTGCCGGGAAATCGAGACCCACTTCCGTTCCTGGGTTAGGTCTGCTTGGTCGAGCATTTTCTTTTATTTTTCCTCCAGTCGAAGTGACTCCAATCGCCAATCCAGGGTCACCCGCTCCAAGAACAGCTGATCCAACATTCGTTGGACTTCCTGTAGGTTTGTTTGTTACAGGTGTTGCGCCTGGTAGCGTGTTTGGTTTCGTTTGTACTGGATCTGCGACTGCTGGAGCAACAGTTGTGGTGGTCGTGGTTGCGTCCTTCTTCTTCCAGAATTTCCATCCTGCTTCTGCGTCGCCTAGAAATTTAATTAAAATTAGGATGGATAATAATGGCTGGTGGGAACAGGAATTTCGTGTGATTATTTAGGAATTGCGAGATTTATTACTATAGAATTATAAATAATCACATCATTATTTTGTCCACAGATTTTGTAATAAAAGTTCCCATAATGAGAGATCTCTTCTTTGATCTTCAACAATTTGAAATGGTAATTTGCATGGAAAAGTTGTAGTTAAGAATGAAAAATATGTTCTGAATCACTTGACAGAAAAAGATCATGACTATTTGCTTGAGATGTCGAATAATAATTACTTAAGATGAATAATGATATATCGATATGTACTTATATATATACATATAATACATATAATTATACATATATTATATACAGGGTGGTTAGTAACTGGTGGTACAAGCGAAAAGGGGGAATTATACAATGGTATTACTTCAATCGTGTTTACTAAATAATCGTGAATACAGAAACGAATATAGAAATATATAGAAACTGATAAATATTATAGATAAATTATATTGACATACAATAACAATTATTACGTAATAATTTTAGAGAAGCGTTGTTTAAAAAAATTATTATCTTCTGCAACCAAACTACGTGATCTCGAGTCCTAGCTAAACATTCCGTTATGCTTATTTCGTTCCTCCGCATATCGCCAAGGTTATCGTGAGTTCATGCTCACACATAACTATACTACTCTATTATTGAAATCGGGGGCAAAAATGTGGGATTTCAGAGCAACTTTAGCATTTTTAAGATAAGTCACGCCACAGAGACTCGATACAGAAAAGGAATTGAAACTATGTAATCAACAACGTAATTCTCTTAATCTCGATTCTTGTATACATATACACATATATGTATATATCATCAATAATGATGTATCGATATGTACTTATATATATATACAGGATGGTTGGTAACTGGTGGTACAAGCGGAAAGGAGGTGATTCTACGCGAAAAAAGAAGTCGAAAATATAGAATAAAAATTTTTTTTTTTAATTTTTCCATCGAGACAATGATCTACAGTGAGATCCGTTATAACGAGACGTGATAAATTGCACGCGTACCGAGCGAAAATTCAAAGTCGATTTTCTCGAGAACACAGCCTCAAACGAAAAATTTTTATTCTATATTTTCGACTTCTTTTTTCGCGTAGAATCACCTCCTTTCCGCTTGTACCACCAGTTACCAACCATCCTGTATATATATATAAGTACATATCGATACATCATTATTGATGATATATACATATATGTGTATATGTATACAAGAATCGAGATTAAGAGAATTACGTTGTTGATTACATAGTTTCAATTCCTTTTCTGTATCGAGTCTCTGTGGCGTGACTTATCTTAAAAATGCTAAAGTTGCTCTGAAATCCCACATTTTTGCCCCCGATTTCAATAATAGAGTAGTATAGTTATGTGTGAGCATGAACTCACGATAACCTTGGCGATATGCGGAGGAACGAAATAAGCATAACGGAATGTTTAGCTAGGACTCGAGATCACGTAGTTTGGTTGCAGAAGATAATAATTTTTTTAAACAACGCTTCTCTAAAATTATTACGTAATAATTGTTATTGTATGTCAATATAATTTATCTATAATATTTATCAGTTTCTATATATTTCTATATTCGTTTCTGTATTCACGATTATTTAGTAAACACGATTGAAGTAATACCATTGTATAATACGGTCTTATTGAACTAAGTGTTTTCTCGGAAGAGAAAGTAAATAACAAACTACGTCAATCATCAAATTCTACAATATTTCGAATAATATCAACATTTTAAGTTACTTTTCTAGAATAATAAAGTCATTTTTACGCAAGTAGGACACAACTTTCATTCATTCTAAGCGATTCGCAGCTCGGAAAACACGAAACAGAAATCTAAATGTAGTCGCTTTCACTTTCGCAAAATTTGCTTTGTTTCCTTGACATCCTATTCTCTTAACACCTATTACACACAGGTACGTACAACCAATTGAATTTCTCTAAGAACGTTTGAAACAAATCGTTTATTTCTTCAAAAATTCTTTTCAGGAATATCAACGGAAAATAAACGTTTCACTTACCGATAAATATCAGAGACAATCCAAGTATTAAGAAAACAGCGGGCACACTTTTGATATTCATGGTTCTCCGTTGATTGAAACGATCCTGAGGATCGTTTTCCAACGTAATAGAATCGAGAGCGTCGAGGAGCTACGTGGGCGTTTTAAGACGAACTGAAGCCTTACGGCGCCGGAATCAGCCACTTCCAGCCGATTATACTTTCCTCTTGCCTTCTCCGCCTCTCATTGACACGTCTGCAAGACTCTAGTTAAGGTCGTTGCACAGTCACCGCGTCTTTTACACTGAAAAGAATCGATCTTCTTGGAAGGATGATGTCAGCCCCTGATCTTGACTCTGCGTTCCATTTCACGATCCTTCGTTCGACTGCTGGTAACTGATCTTTTCGTTTTGACATTTACAAACTGATTGAAAAGCGTCTTTTGAACCATCTTGTTTGTTTGTAGATTCTGCAGTGCTTTTGATTGGTTCTATCTTGCTATTGAAACTTCTATTGAGTCAGTTGATGATGAATCTTCTTGTTATTTAGATTTATTGACACAGCGACGACGATCAGTTTGTTGAGAGCGGATGACGAATGAGTTAACAAAGTTCGGAAGATAACAGGCGATTCGAAATCGAGTTAAATTAGGAAATCGAAAATGGATTTACTCGCTGTCGGTACACGCGAGCGGCTGCTGTAGAAAGTATCTCAAGTTTGCCTTGTGAGCTTGAGAGACACTGTACGATATCTGTTAGCTAATGAGCATAGACTAGTTTTAGTTACAATGAAGTTGTAGCAAATTTTAATAATATAGAAAAATAAACTTTGGAAACTTTCATAAATTTACACAATTATATGATAATGTTTAGGAATGAAGAATTTATCGTTCAATAGAAGAAATGATACTTTATTTGTAGAGACAGTATGTACATATTTACACTCCGGAGTTTTCCGATAATCGCGGTCCGTGACAAACAAGTATATCGTTTAGTAACATTTAAAGAAATGCTCTATTACATATGAACGAATAACATCCTGTATGTCTGCGTCTAATATGAACCAGTTATTTATTTCTGGTTAGACTTTAGAAATTCACTTTATATATGTGTATCATATGTTATAGATTGTATATTTATATTAAAATACACTGAAGAGTATGTTTATAGAATGATATAGAAATATTATTTTTGCATCGAATTTCAGATTCTAATCAGAGGAAAATAGATGACTGCCCATAAAACGAAAAGAATCAGTAGAGTGATCATCAGCTTAGAACGAAAGTTGTCCCATCCGACTAGGACGTATTTTTGTGGCCTTCCAACATTCTCTATATCCAAAGAAGACTAAAACGTAACAAGATTCGTAAAAAAACAACGAAACGAGTAAATTATAGTCACGATTATCCCAATCCTTACGTCATCGTCGTCGATGTCTTCGTTTTCCTGCAGTCTTTGGGTACTTAAATTTTGACGCATTTGTGTTGCTTTGCTTTGGGTGCTTTTCACTTTACTAGGACCAGGCTTCGAGATAGGTTTCTTGTTAAATTGTGGCGACTTCGAGGATCCAGGATGATCAAAAGCTGTCAGTCTGATAGCTACGGTGTTTTCTATGCCTCGTAGTTTATTCGACTGCTGATTTTGCACGCTCGTAGTTTCTTTCTTCGACGATTCAGTCACTGTTGCATTCTCCTTTGTCACGTCACTTTCTATAGATAGTGTTTGTTAATTAGAAAAACAGATTAAAAGCTTTTTAAACGAGTTGCAAACAATTCACAAAAACTAGTATCTGCACAACTTAACGGTTGTTTCTATAATGTTACGTTTCTGCATCGTAAAATGTAACAGGTTTGGGCAATTATAAGTGACTCGAACGAAAGGAGAACAAGAAGTAGACTGTGGATAATTACGCAAGATCATGTTTCACTTTCGTATTTAAATTTCTCGTATTATGCATAAACGTCAATAACTAAGAATACATAAATAGTTAATAACTAGATAATAGTAAAGAGTACAGAGTATGATATTTCAAATGTCTTGTCTCCGATTTAACTGTAGAAACTTGTAATTTTTTACTTTACGATTTTCATAAAAATATAAAACATTATATATATATGTAAAATTTTTGTAGGAAATGTTTCTGACATACCTTTTCCGGGATCATTCTGTTGTGAAGTCCCGCCCTGAGGATCTCGAATGTGAGACAAGAAGCTCTCCAAATATCGCGCAATCGTCTTCTCTTTTTCCCGCTTCAGATTGCTGGCTAGGTGTATTTCCGTCGGTGCATCTATCACGGGACTCGAGTGGAAAGTCGCTAAGGCAACGACAATACTAACTTCCAGACGTTGAACTTTGCTCCTAATCGTCGGGCGAGAATCCTCGATCTATCTCTTGTGCTGCCAAAGAAACAGAGATTAGATAATAAAGTTGAACAATACTTATAACAGTAGATATTTCTTCAACGTCTTAGTACACTCTAAAATATAAATTATAATTTAAAGAATTCATTTTGCTCGACACATATTAAACAGATAAGGTTGCATAGCCTTGGTAAAAAAGAAATTCGAAAAAAGAACTCAATTAATACATCCTTGTTTGCGCATGAGAGAAAAACATTATAAACGACTCTTACCTTCGTAAACATTATACTAGAGATCCTACGAACTTCGTATGACTCAGATACACCGACGTACAAGCATAAAATGTCACTTCGAAGGCCGCTTGACTCAGGTGCAAAACACGGCCTCGAGATCGCGGGGCATTAACGGCGTTTATCGTCCTTCGTCTTTTCTCTTCTCGGATCGTCCGTCGATAAATCTTCCCTGAGAATTCTGATCGTGTTCGTAGCGGGCAGGTCGTTGGTAAAAGCACAGATTCCGCTGGTAGAGCGTCATATATTCGCAGATAACTTCGCGTGGAACCTTTGCATGCGTCATCGTTGACAGGAAGCGATTATAAGTCTCAAGTTCAGCTCTAGTCTAATATTTAATTGTTTTGTAATTATTGTCTTTGACGATCTGAAAGACTAGATGGATGAAAATCTGGACGATTAAATTCCCGATAAAGTTGTATTTCTGAATAGATTTTTATCGGTATTAATGAGAAACTGATTTTGATGTCATCTAGTTGGTTTGCAATGAAAAGAAGAATTACAGATGTTTGTACATGCATCAGTTATCAAATAAGATTTCGACAATTATCGATAGCAAGATACGTGGGCAAGATAAAATGACTTCAAAAGTTTTCTGCAAGATAACTTTATTAATTCGCTTTTGTACAAATACTTTGTAAAAAATAGTCAATATTATATAATCGAATACCTTCTATCAAACATTTTACGTATAACATTATAAAGAGATTAGGAATATATTGGTGTGTTACAATCGCAATAATTTTATGGTAACTGTTAATATAGTTAAAAGGAAGTATCCAATTCGAACAAATATTACAGGGACTAGTATCACTTCAATTTTATCCTCGCGGACGATTCCTTTGTACATTACAAAAGTTTTTCTATCTTTTTCTATGTCAAGTGTTTCAACACTGGGAATTTCTTCGTCATTGAACCGATAATCCCGAGAGTATATGCTCGCGTAAATAGGAGCCTCGAGATACTCTTTACGCAACTCAAACTCTGGATTTCTAAAACTTTCTGTCCACAAAAGAGTACACGTTTCTTACATTTCCATTTGCTCGTCGAGCAAATAACATAATTCTTCCACAAATCCACGATTTTGAACATAGAATTATTTATTGCTTCGCGCAAGGACGGATTCATCGATAGGAGATGGAGAATTCAATCAAAGTATCAGAATTCTACAGAAAAATCTTCCTCTCTTTCTCCTCACATTTCTGGCTTTTTCTTATACTTCAAAGAGTATCTTCTTGGACATCTTATCATGTATCTATGTTACCGAAGGCAAAGGATTACCCAAATTTTCCTTGTTCGCTTCCAAATGGAAGAACATCGGCCATCCAAGTTTCTCGGTGTCCTTAAATGCTTCACAAGATCCGATATTGGACGAGAAACGTGTAGACGATTACCCAGAGAACCAAAGCGACGATTACAGAGATAAGGAAGATAGTTTTGAGAAAATGCCAAGGGCTTTCCATTCTCGATTCCGCGCGATTGGCCCAGCTCTTGCAGCCGCCGTTTCTGCACGGAATACTACCTGGCTGCACGGGCGTCGACGTCGCGACGGTGCTCATCGGAGGTGTCACCTTCACCTCACCCAGTTCCGTTTCTTCTGCATTTTGGATCTCCGCCTTCGTCAGCTCGAACCTCGATGGACTCTCCATCTGTAATCACATCGAATAGTGGATAAAATTGATCGATACATTGTTGGAAGCTGTTGGATGTTATCGAAAGTGTTATCGTGACTTATGTTTGTCACCAGATAACAATTAATGTTATTTCAGCAGTAATAAGACAGCTGCGATTTTAGACTGTTAATTGAGTCTTCTTCGTTTCAGGCTGTTTCAAATAACGAATTAAGAATTTATAGGGATGGGAATAAAAGAAAAAGTTAAATTTTAAAAGAAACGAAGAAAAGAGTCTAGCACGATTTTTTTATATTCAAAAGAAATAAAAAGTAAAAGATCTCACGATGTTTTTAAGATTATGAGAATTCTTTCACATATATTAATTCCCTATGAAAATAGAATATCACGTTGAAAATTAGGGATAAAATTAAAAAAGTTAAGAAATAATATGTAAACATCTGAGTATGCAACTTGTAGAGGAAGTCACGACGGCAACAAAAGACGGAATCACTACAAGAAAATAAATGCTTAATTTGTGTATTTAAGTGACTCGTTTGACTGTTTTTAATATTTGTAGATAGCTTCGGTGTTATTTCACTCCCTCTGGAATGAGAGATTCAATATACATATCTATATAATGTGAATCGTAAAATATTTGACACTCTATTATTAACGTCAAAGAGTTTGAAACGAAAAAAAAGTATTAATTCAGTAACAATCTCTATCTTAAGCCAAACAGAATACGTATAATGCGGTTTTGGTATAAAGTCAAGATACAGCAGATTGGCCACCACAATTTCCTATTTGTCAAGCAAAAGAAGTAGTCCATTTTGGAACACGTTTGTATATTTTTATCCACCTAACATAACATAACGGTACGCTCGAATGTATGCTAATCGACCAGGGTTCCACTTCTTTCGAAAAAAAAGTAGAAGAAAGGAGCCAAAGAAAAAAGGATCCAACGGCATCTATAAATATTCAGCGTGGGTAGACGCCGTGAATAGAATTTGCAATAAATTGAACGAGCCTGAAATGCAACCAGCGTGACGATGCAGCCACTCCAAATTATTGATTATTTCACAATTGTGCTCGATTGTGCGGAGGAACGTGTGCACCGCGTTTCCAATGATTCTTAGCGGTAATCCACGACATTCCTTGCTTCTTCAAGTTTTCCATTTTCGTATATAGTATAGAGTACAATAGTACGTACGCATACTAAAAGAAAAAAAGAAAGAGAAAAGAGGAGAATCGACGCAATTTCTCATCAAGAAAAATAAACAAGAAAAAGTCTCGAGACATTTACCAGAGTACAAAAATTCTCTAGAAAATTAATTGTAAGAAAATTGGGAAGATGTGATATTGCTCGATCAAAGGCCACGGGTGAATGCACTGAAATATCGAAATGGTGAAAGGGTATTGAGTGGGGATATTACATGTGTCTCTGGAATTCGAATCTTGGGAGGGAATAAATCTTGCTCAGGCTTTGGTCGTGTCCCATATACCAAGCCCATCATTCTGCTGACCTGGTTCAAGTATGGATAATCCCATATGGATCCGGGGGATGGCACGATCATCATCTGCCAACGATATTATATATATATATATATATATATAGATCGTTAAATTTATTCAGTTTCGGGTTTTTAATAGTATTTCTATAACGCTATGTTATAGAGTTTTATAGAATTTATATCCAAATATTGCATTTTCTTAAATTTAGTACGTTACAACAATAAAATTTCATGGCAGCGTATTTTTTTAACAAACGCAAGGTCAAACTTATTTAAATCGTTGAGCGTCACTTTTACGACAGTCTAATCAATATTCATAACTGCTGACTACCGTAAGTGAAAAATTGTGTTGAAAATTTTGGTCGTATTTATTTTTTTCATGCATGTTACGAACTTCCTCCTTGAAATGGTTTTGTGCACTCACGATAACTTTCACTCGATTCTACAATGATCGGGTCCTCGACCAGGTGAACGAAATAAAATTGAACGGAATAGAATTTGCACGAAGTGTTTTCGAAGCAGAGGCGAAACGTCGTCGTGTAAGAATTGATTAGGTTAACGATTCATGAACTCTATTTAACTTTATCGAGGAGATCATACCTGGTAGTATAAATCTTTGTTTTTTGAACTGGCTTCGAAACGAATTAACTATTCCTACTCGACATTTCTTACACGAACACCTAAACCTAAAAATTGTGATATATATAAAAGCTTTATAGAACAGATACTGGAAGATTTGAGAAAATGATTAAAGAGATAGAGACGTTTTTTAAGGAAAGAGATATTATAAAATCAAAGACTCACGTTATCAAATAAGTAGCTATACTTCCTGGTATGACAATTCCCATCGCTGTTCATATTTTTAAGTAGCTATTCAGTTGCACATTATTACTCGTTAATCACAGATAAATAGCAGAAATCCGATCTAATAAAGCTATCAAAACGTCTAATTAATTGACGTTTAGTTCCTGAATGAGCAACACGCGTTTCTTAGACATGTAAGCAACACGAGACGAGGAAAGTTGTAGTTTATTTGCCTGCGACACCGAAGGAACTGACCACTTACGTCTATCGGGGCCCACTATCAACCTTTATCAATCCCGACCCCTGATCTTTCGTTATCGAACAGCTACTCTAGTGTAAATGTCGACGAAACGTTGCTAACCGGCTCGTAAATCGTTTAGAGGAAGTTCAATCGTTATGATAGTATGCACTTAATTAGAGTATTTACTTTCCATAATTTCTCATATCGCTTAAATGGTGCGTGCACGGTATATACTATATAAACGATATGAAAAGTTATGTAAAATAAATACCGAATTAGGGTATTCCTACGGAATGGTACTTTTTAATTAAAATATCAGAATTTTAAACACGACAATAATTTATTATGCAATTATTATCTATGAAAATGTATGTAAACCGGAAGTCGTCCAAAGCCGAAAGGCAGGGACTATGTTTAATAAATAAATATTATCTATGAAAATATTACTGTGGTAAAATGCATTTTTGATATAAAGGTGAAAATAAATTTTTAATACAACTCAAAAATTCGTAGGTCAGTACGGTTCGATGATCTTCAGAGGTACAAAAATTCACGAATTACCACGGTACCTTGATACAGAATCGAAAGGATACAATATGGAAAAGATTCCACGTTATTGGAATAGAAGAATTGTTACGTGTACAAATGCGCAACAGGTCGAGGATGCACCAGCAATAATGATAAGTAGAATTCGTTGCGTAACCTGGTGAGGCTCATATTTTCAACAGGTAGTCAGAAACTTCGGCACAAGAGAATCGAGAGAAGAAATTGAAAACCGTCTTATAGAACATACAGAGAAATGAAACATTACCGCGATCGATCACATTGAAATTTAACCCTACAGAAACATGTTGCTTGTTACAAACTAAGACGGACAGATTGAAGTTTGTCAAGGAATAATTCATAAATCTCATTAATTTGTTTCCCCTATTTTCTTTTAATATCATCACTGATCGATCTCTCTTGCTTTTTATTGGTCAGTCACGTTAGTTCAATGAACTTCGATGACTAATTATTAGAAGTGAGATTCCGTGGAAGTGAAAGTACGGCAAGTTTGCGTCTAAAAGTATTGACGAACGAAAGTAGCTGCTTCACAAAGAGTTTCAAGGCTACCGCTCAAATCACGATGTTTATCGATGTTCTTAAAAATCGTGAACGTGCTCGTGTACGTAGTACATAGCTTCGTGAACGATGCGATTAAATTGTTTGGATCATGCCGTTTGAAAACATCATAAAATAAAACAGACATTCTTAATATTACATCGACGATCGTTTCCTTATGATAAGACAAGATGTAATTGCTACTTTGCACATCCACAATTATTTGATCCAAGGTTATTCGGATATTACAACATGCAAACATGTCTAAAACAGCATTTTCGTTAAAATATTATTATTACTGTGATTATAAAAGCTATCATCCTTGAATTTTAATGCTGAATAACTGTATGAAACTCGTATTGATAAATTTATTCGCATAAATTTAATTAAGCAACATGTTGGAGCTACTTGTTTAGTTCTTTCAGAGAAGTATTATATTTAAGGATCGAATAGATCAAATCAAGAAAGATTTAAGAAATTTTGGATGTTCTGCGAAACACGCGTGCTCACCTGTTGAGGATGCCAAGTGTGCTGAAAGAAACTCTTGAAACACTTCATGTTGAATGCGACATTCCTTCACGTTTATCAGTCACTGTATTATCGCGATCATCTAATTTGTTGGTTATTACTGGTCCATTCTTCTTTATCTATTTTACGATTTAAGACTCACTTTTGATCTGACACGACTGTACATCCGCATAATTAGGTCACACGCGTTATTTACAATTCCGCGTTCGATATCGCGGAATGGAAAATTTTAAATTTCCCAATATAATTTATAGTAATAGATTACTACAAGTTGTTATCGAATTAAGTAGAAAAACAGAATTATTTCCAACAATCGTATGAGTATTAGAGAATTATAAAATGCAATCGCATCTGTACGAGTGATCGCAGGCGAAAGTTTTGAAGCGCACACGTCGGTGCGCGCTCGACAACTAATGAAGTTCGTGCCGATAGTAGTAGAAGTTACACGAGACAGAATTGTCGTCTGTTAAAGTCTATCCATCGTACGCTTGTCGCTTGTGACATGCAGAGAAATGGCGAAATTATTTCGTAAAGTCTTACTATATAACTTTACTTGCTACTATAAGATTACTTGCGTGGTGAATGTCAAACTTACTATTAATTACAATATTTCAAAATTGGAAAAGAATTATAATAAATGATACGATAGAAGTAACTTTCCTAATTGCATAGTATGATTCTTTCTATCAGTGTTAAATTGGATAAACACATATACAATTGTTTGATATTTGAGGTTGCAAATACAGGTTATATAAGTACAAAACGTGATAAATTGAACAGTTTCTTTTATTTTAACTGAGGCGCAAATCAATGCACATTGTTTATAATTTTAAATAAATTAGTATGCTAAACAAAACAAAAAATTAAATACATAATCGGAAATAACGTTAGGTAAAGATTTCTATTTTTTAATTTCGAAATTAGCGAATGTAGGTTGAGATATTTCTTGTTCATTTCGAAACTCCGCCTTGTCTATGGCTGATTCAGGACTTCCGGTATATCGAAGCCAATTTTTCCTATAAACAGATACAAATAGAATAAGGATAATAAATATATCTGTTAAAATGTTTTAAAGAGGTAAAAACTCACATTTCTTCCACTTTGCTTTTCGATCCTTCAAGACGACCAACAACAGTACCTTGATGGGTATTCATACACCATCCTTTTAAACCTAATTCGGTCCCACGTTTTTGGGTATACTATATCAATAAAAATGACAAATTATTGAAAGTTATTTATGATCGTTCATAGAAAACTGATTTACCGATCATACGAACATGGACATATAAGTACGTGTTACATTTATAATTCAAACATAAAAAATCATTTTTTAATTTGAAATTTAAAAAATGTTAGATACGTTTAATTTTCAATTTAAAATACCGATATATATGTATATATGTATACACTCATAACTACATAGTAACTGTTTCACCTGTCAGATGTCAGTTCTGTACTAAACAAGCCATAAAACTTGCAGCATATTTCTTCGTGATTTACGTTAATTATTGACCGTTACTTGGTGCGATACATTACTTACCTTTCTAAAGAATACGCCTTTAAAAAAGAAAACTTAAGATCAGTATCATCATGATTCTATTATAGAAAAATGGTTACTTACCTTGTACTCTCCCATAAACTTCAAAATCAACACCGACTAACTGTGACATTTTCGGATTTGTATTTTGCGATGTTATCACTGATAAAAACGGCAATGTGATAAAAAGGCAGAGAACAATTGTAAGGTACAACTTGATTAACATTCAATCATTATTTGGAAAAATATCTGAATGTGCGTATGTTATTTCACGAGACGATAATTGACTAGATGTCGCCAGTTGAGATTCTATCAGCTGTTCCGGTTGGTTAATAGCGGTATCCTTGGAAACCACTCCTGATGTGTTTTAGAGCGAATTAAACTTAATTTGAATTTTAAGTAGGGTTGATACAGACGCAGTTCATATTTTTAAATCCGTATGCTCAACTTGAATCAATTCCAGCATTAATACACATTATGTACGATGAGATAAACATTGCAATAATAAAGAACAACGTTCTTCTGAATAATAAATGTATATATTTATGCATTTAGATTAAAAAATAGGTAAACACATTAGTTTATATTTTAACCTGTTATGGACTTATTCACTACATTTAAAGGATTAAACGATTCGATGTGTAAATAACGTATATAATATAATTAAAACTAATCAAGTAATTAATAAAAATTAAATGTACGTAGGAAAATAATGAATCATTTACAAGGTGGAATTAACACCTTATTTGAATTTAAAAATCAAAATCTATTCGCACATGTATATGGCTGATCAGTGTAGTTTGTATCGGCGCTGGTATTGGTCGATGTTCCGAAGCGCGCGCACAGGGATAGCAGCAAAAAAAGTCGCCAAGTATAGTGGCGTATAAGTCGTCCCCACCGCGGTATCTACGACCAGTCTCAAGCAACAGTTAATACGTGGTGGTTGTGTTTATGCGGTCCTCTTCAACCGTGCATGCGATTGTCCTTACGAAACGCAACGAGAATCTCATCATCGAGTCAAAGCAATCTATCGATCGCGTTATCATTATGTGCTACGTATCTCAGTTTACGTGTACCTGTCTCCCTGTCTATCTTTAAAACCCTTGGCACACAGCGTTACCCTCGTCTACGGAGATTCTACGCTATGGTAGACGATCACGTAAATTCAAATGCACGTCTTTTCGATAAAAACATTCGCGACGTTTGAACAACAGAAAAAGAAGAAAAAATCATCCCGTTAACGCGAAATCGTCGATCATTGGCCCGTAATCGATACGAATACATGATACGTACGCGATAGTCCGTGTATCTGTATACGAACACGCGAAATACCAGTCTTGTGTCAGTCGATGAGGTTAGGCTGGCGTATTTACGCAACGAAAATTCGTGTCGTCGGCGTACGGGCACACGATGCGGCTCTGACAGATCGTTCTATCGTCCTTGTTATATCGTTGGTTACACGTCTCAGGGCAGAACGTTGTGTGCAGTGCTTAAGGGTAGCGCCGGATTATTCGTCGTCGACGTCGGTGGCGACTTTGACAGCTTATCTGTTCGAAAAGTGAGGTTAATTCGGGAGGTGTGTCGTTGTGCGTGTGCGTTGACGTGCACGGAGGAACAGCAGGACGATAATATACGATGACGGCGATGTTAGTATCAGTGGCGGAGCTGTCGAACATTTTCTTTGTGCTCGCAGTGTCGATATGCTTCTGCGGAGTTTTCTTGTTTATCATCAGGTATTTATGTCATAGCTTCGGTTTACACTAGAAAAGTGGCACGAATAATTATTAATTGCTCGATTATATATGTTTTTCCTTGTAAAATTTTACTAATGACCTACGCTGCACCTTTTATTCAAGGCGTTTGGCATTTTAATTGTAAAAAGAAACATAGTCAAATAATTTCTGGTATTATCTATTGATACACAATTATGATACATATTGCGATATTTTGAAGAAGTTGTTTTGATCGTTGGTGATATCTCTGCAGATATCGTAAAATTAACAATTATTAAAATACGTCATTTCTCAAACAAGTCGATGATATTGTATATTGCTTTTTTCTTCACTTGTACGTATCATGTTTAAGGATGTACGTAATTCCCATCAATACAAGCATTTCCCCTAATCTCTCCAAAAAAATGTTGTCCGATAACAATGATTAATACGAGTCGCTATCTTCTATTTTCTTTTTTATTGTGGCACTCCTGCGCGCGTTCAGAAACTAAACTGTTAATACTGTGGCAACTCTTTTACGCGAATGAGATTGTACGCGTTAAAAAGGGCGTCAGAATAAATAGAATACACGGATGTAGGTGATTCAATTTTTATTTTCTCATTCGGAAAATATTTGCTCGTTCTTTCTTCAGCGAAATCAGCTCCTGCATATTGCAGCCTGACTTTTGGACCATCGTCGTAATGTTTCGAGAATAATCTCGATGGAAATCATATTTCCGCATATAGAATTGACAAAACTACATCTCTCTAATCTTTCCTTTACTCATCAGTATTGTCGGTTGGAGAATATTCTATGACTAATAGTAAATATTTTGTGTTTTATGAGTCACTGGACCGTAGGTTATCAATTATCAAACTGGTGAAAGATACCATTGCGCTAGAGCAATATTACTCTGTCAATTGGTATAAATTAAATTATCACCATTGAATGCGAAGAGTATCGTTAGAACAGAAAGATTGTGTTTTTCTTCAGTATTACTCCATTTCACTCTCTAGTTTTATCTCGGAATATTATTTGCAAAGTTATTCAATGAACAGGACCCTGCTTTAAACAAATTTTTATTTTAATTCATTGCAATAAATCACATTAATTTTTTTGGTGTCCTTATGTACCAGGACAAAACAGTCCGTTATAATAGGTCTTTTCTTGTTTTTATTAACTTAGCCGTGTATTTTAAATTCAGTTGTATAACATTGAAAAATTTTATTACCAATGGTTAATAAAATAGCTCAACTGTTAAAATTGTAATTAAATTATAATAGAAGGATCAAGGATATCAATGAAAATATAATATCCTATACTTCATAATTGAATATCTAGATACCCAATTCTTTAAAGTTGTTTATATTAACATATTTGAAAGATTGAATTGTAAGGCTTGTCAGACTTTCGTTGAAATATTTAAAACAGAACCGAATTTAGAAATTTTTTATCGTACTATTTATTTTGCACCACCTGTGACGCTTTAAGATCAATTTCTACACGATGTCTCATTTATTGCATTATGAATTTCTACGAGTGAATAAAAATATTAATTTAAACATTAACGGTGCATAGTGTAGTAACTATTTCGTCATTTCACTTTTCTGATTGCATAATATCAATTTATTTTATAATACGATGCCCCTTAGTTTCATAACATTTTGCTACAGTAGCTTAATAAAGATCTAAATGGTTATCTCCATAAAAAGTTGTTCCCCAGGCCAATAATCTTAATAGTGGAGTTAAATTTTGTTTCCTTTTCTGTTTCTTTCTTTTCTTTTTCCCTTTTACCTCACCTCAGAAGTTTCAAGGTTAATTCTATTTCTTTTAATATCTCAAGGCGAGATCAATGAAATCGGCGTTATTCTGTAAGACGATCGTAAAAGTGGACGATAAATTGGCACTTTCAATTTGCTGGTAAAAGTGTGCTGTAGGATAGAGGACACGATGGCTGAGAACAGCTGTTTAAACATGGAAAATCACCGAAATTCTTGTAATCGCACTTGTAGAGTTGACAAGGAATTATTACATTGAAGGCTGGAATTAATTTACTCCAAAATGTAAGATGAATTATATAAAAAAAAAATTGGGTGACCTTGAAATGAACGAAGTTAACGACTGACGAGAGAGTCAGTCAAAGTTCCCGCTAGTCAAAGTTTCTCCTCTTGTCAAAGCAAACAACTTTCTTGCTTCTTCGACAGCGCAAAATTGAGACTTTTGTTTAAAAAATTTGTTTCAACCGTGCAATTTGGAAATCTGGAGAACTTTACCGGTGAAAGTCAAGAAGCAAAATTCCATATAGTAGAACGGTATTTATTGTGACCAAAGTTTAGTTAATGTTAGATTAAATGAACTTCTGTTGATTGAATTCATTTATTTGAATGACGACTCATTGTCTATGAGGAAAATCTATAAATTTAATTTTGTTTTAGATAAATTTTAATTCCTTGCACGAGAGTATGAATTTGTATAAATATCAGTAGTAAGCAAAAATTCATGAAATGGAATTAATATTAATAACTTAACTGTACATGTTTATGCAAATTCATATCTTTACTGGCTGAATTGTAGAAGAAGAATATAACTATAGATTTGTTTTATCCACTTAATAATGTATTATAAGGAATGTTCTATCTTCATTATTTTATATATTTACGAATATCATGTATATTTTTGCCACATTTTCAATTTCTCATAAATGTATAAACATCCATAATGTATCAATAATCAGCGATCTACCAGCTTAATTAAGGACAATAATCGAAACTTTTGAAGGATCATTTCTGAGGCAATCAAGTATTATTTTTTTACGAGATGCTTATCTTATTAGATATGTTTATGGAGAATTTGAAAAGAGATATAAAATTGTTATTTATGACAAGACACTTTCTCGTTTACCTCCTTTTCGAATAAAGTAACAAGTTAGCTGCATGATGGCAATCTGAGGTCACTGAGTGGCATTCAAACAACCTTATAATATTATGATTTATCTCGTTTTATCTATGATTAAATAGAAAAAGCGAATGGAAATGACGAATAAGGTTTTCAAACGTTACATTGATTATGCAATCGCTTATTCTAATTCGTGTACTCGAACCGACGCGTTATTACATTGCAAAATCGGTGATTTGCCAGTTTTGCCGGTCGTTTGGCTTTTTTCTGGAAATGATTTCTGTATACTTTCATGGAAATTATGCAACGCCATTGGAGACGCTTGATCAAACCGTTATTATCTTGCGGTATTCGTTGTTGCTTGTCTACTGCACTACACGAAGTAAATACTTCTCAAGAAAAAAAAAAGAAAAATAAAAAAATAAAATAAAAGAAAGAGAGAAAAACAATATAAATGCAAGAACAGATATATAACATTCCAGTAAATTTCCAAATCTTTGTAGTTACGTATGGCAAGCTATTTTAATGTTTGAAAGCATACAGATATCTATATTATAATTTAACTTTATTCGGTTTTCTGAAATCATGGATTTTGTTACTTTTACATTTTCTCTAAACCAGGGTTAGTAGACCTACCATAAACCAAATGAAAAGTTATGAATTTCCGTGGTATGTATAAATAGTATAATAAACTGAGCTCATTTACACGTGAACTATCCTACCTGGTATCCAAGTAGTATCCAGGTAGTATTCAGGTAGTATCCAGGATAGTATCCAGGTAGGATAGTTCACGTGTAAATGAGCTCAGTTTATTACATACCATGGATACCTGGTATCCAGGATACTATTGTATCCTGAACATTTTACCTGAAATACAGACAGTTTATCAGGTAAGAACCATTTGCTGCAATAATGCAAAGTTCGTTGGACAATTTCGACCTTAAAAGTTAATTTAGTTTTTCACCTTTTCTGTTATTATTAATATAATGACAATTATTTGGTGAAACTGCAAGTCGAAGGTTGAAATCCCGTTATTGGGAATAAGAAGAAATTTCTATGCATTGAGGCATAGGATTGTTTGCGTCGATTGCAAATGAGGAATTCAGAGGAAAAATGGTACAAGCGACATCTATAATTTGCTCTCAAATTCTTTTTCGATAAGTTTCTCTATCTAAGAGTAAAATGTAAAGCTTTAACAAAAGGATCTACGTCTCCAAATATTAAAACACAATCTTGTGGATACAAAATAAAATACTGTACTCTCTCTAGGTAAATATAGATCTTATGTACGGTTCCCTTCACTTATTTCAATTTCGGGTGAAAAATTGACACAAGTGATAGACGAGGATAAAACTGAAGTTTGGTCTTCCCGTGAATATCAAGGTCTGAGCGAACTCTTTCAGGAACTTTCAGTTCCATTTGGAATATTTCTTCGCTCTGAAGGAGCCGCTTAGTCCAGCTGTACGATTCCCAAATCCAGCAGCCTTATGTCAATAAACCGTTAACACGCTTACGTGAAACGTGCGATTCGCCTATTTGAAAGGAGAAAGCCGTCTGAAATTTCAAAGTTGCGTGGTTTACTTTTTACGCTGTCATAAAATAACTTCAAAACTACACAATCGAATTTAAATCCATCGAAACGAAACCGAGCAGGAGTCCCGTTGACGATACTTAAATCGGACATTTTCGAGAACCTAACGGAGGAAATGTAGTGGGAAATTTGATCTCGTGTTCCTTTTGATATCATCGATCATAGGATCGTAGATTGACGAATAATTCGCTGCAACCTTATGTTGCGGTATACGTGCATGTGTTCTCATGGCCGCGAGGTTATTGGCAGTACGCGACCGTTCGCACACTAATTCGCTCCAAAGGATGAATAACGAAGGCAGTTCGATTATTTTAAATATCGAAGGACGGTATAGTCGCGTTCTTTCATTCCAGAGCCTTATCGTTACATTTTATTGGAACGAGGTCTGCTGAAACGAGGCGATACGTTGATTCTTTTTTTTACCAGCTTATAATTATTTCTTTGCATCTTAATGTCGGTAAAAAAAATTGATCAGAGTTCGTAAACATAATTTAAATTTAAAAAGTAGTTGTTTGAAAAAATTCAAGCTCGGTCGAATAACTTATCAAGATAGAACTTATTCGTTGCCTTCTACATTTATTCAAATATCTGATTATTATCTATCTGTACGAGTTACGTTTCTTCTTCGGGAAAGAATAATTTTTCAGATTTTTTTATGAGAATGATTATTTACGTAAAGTAGTTGTTTGAATAAATTCAAAGTCGGTCGAATAACTTATCAAGTTAGAACTTATTCGTTACCTTCTCTGTTTGTTCAAATATTTAATTATTATTTATCCGTACGAGTTACGTTTCTTCTTCGGGAAAGAATGGAGAATGTAGAAGAAGCAGAATCTTTCTTCTAGAATAATTCACCGCGTCCGATTTATTTTTTGCGTCACTGTGAGGAAGAAAGCAAAGGAAAGATGAGAAACTCTCAGCAACTAGCCGATAAATGATTTTCAAACCCGTTAGTTCATACTTGTTAATAGGAAAAGGTAGTATACTGTTATTTCTCGGATGGTCTAATCGTCTCGCGTTCAAGATCGTGCATACCTGCACGTAGGACACTATCGTCGTTTAACTTATAAACAATATCTCGTGTGTCTAGAGAGAGCGGAGTGCTAATTATAAGCTCTGAAGAGCAAATCAAACTTTTAATGTTGAATTATGAATACATTATGCGGAATTGTAAAGTCTCTCGCGAGTTACAAATATTAATTCTTTTACTTCAACGTTTTGAAGCTTGATTAAATTAGTCTATTAATTTAAAAGCGATAATTTCATAGTGCCCTTGTAATACCCTTATAATACTAAAGGAAATTAGGGCATAAAAGTTTGAATGCGAACGACTTCGAAGAATTTGAAAGTTTACTTTGTTGCGAATGTAAACAACTCTAATGATTATATAGCGAACATTTATGCATTTACGAGAAACTTAATGATGCAAAACACACAAATGCACAGAATACACATGATATATTAAAATATATGAAATATTCAATGTACAGTGCTTTATAACATTTAACGATCGAAACATATCTCTGCTTTGTAAGAAATATTTCTCAGAATCAATAGCTGATATCTGTCCGGATGTTTATGCTTCTCGAATCATTTCAAAGGCATTCTCTACGCGAAAATATTTTATATACAAAGCATAACAAAAGGATAATAACGGATGAATATGCACATCATCGACCGAGGCTCTTGCATTCTGCAGTAGAGTCAATCCTTCTCCAATTGACAAACGTATCGCATCGACTCGCAGTCGCAGATTAACCGAATGTGTCAACGTCAGTAAAGCGATTTTTGTATCGTCTTACAGCTTAGCTTCACGTTTCGCTAACCATACCACAAAAATATAAACTTGAAAAATCGAGGACTCAAGAAAAATATAAATCTGCATAAACAGCCACATATTAATAATAAACGACTGAAAATGGTTCGATTAAATGAGAAATCCGATTTCTTTGTACAGGAATATGATCGTGCTTCGTATTCACGGCGACGAATTGATGTTTGGAGGGAGTGGAAGCGTAATGACACATTCGCCGCGCATACCTCAGATGGAGATGATGAAGGTCCATATTCCCTTCACCTTCAAGCTTCACGAAAGTTTCAAGAGCACTTATACCGGTGAGTCTTTTTCTTTCAATTTTCCTTCTTCGCCTCTTTCACAAGTCTGTCGAAGAAATCGCAAGCATGATACTTTCGAATTGATACTGAGAAAGAAATTGAAGAAACGCTTGATTTTTTAAGCTTTTACCCAACTGAATTACCAATTTGAATAATTTCAATGTTATTATCAAAGGAAGAACGATTAAATATATAAAAATTATATAAATATATAAAATTATAAAAAAATTCCTATCCAGTATCTCATTTCGAACGAACAAGAGAGGAGTACACGAATAGTTGAAATATCTAATTAATTGAATATCCAGAGAAGTTCGCAAATTATATTAAAATTCAAGAAATTGATGAATTATCATTCATTATTCTCGCATAATTAACATTCTAAATTAGGAATGTCGTTGGGGAAAAAGACAAACCCGTTTTTGATAAACAGATCGGAGATCGTATCTCGCACAATCGATGTACTAACGCTCGGACGTGTCTCGCCTTCGTTTCATCTAATACTCTCGGGATTAGTATTCGTTGCCGTTTGAAAAGTCGTCAAAATTCACGCGTCGTTCCAAGCAAACCCGGCGATTCATTACGAAGAACTCTATAACTTTTCGAATCTATATCCTCGCTCGCGAATCAACGTTCTTCCGACGATTCTTCTCAACAAGAAATCTTTATTACTTTGCTCTCTACCAACAGTAAGCATCGTTTAAATTTCGCAAGTCTTGGTTCGTTGGGCTAACTGACTCTTGAAAGGAGCAAAACCTCCTTCGCGTCTCGATCGGCTCAAAAGTAGGTTGTAGACACCGCGTAAGAAGAAAAAGAAGAAAAAAGGCGAGACGGTCCTCCCGTTGGTCGTCGCTTGTCGTAATTGGTATGCAGGTGTGAAGATATCTGAAGTTACGAAACGTTACCTTGACCGCTTGGCCAGGTCATTGTGAGTCATTTAACCGGGGATAATTGATCGCGGGCAAGGGATCTATCTCATAATTATATTACTTCGCGCAACACTTTTTAAAATTGCTTCCCATTTCGAGCAAATTCATAGATTAGTATGTAAATATTCGTTTTTGTATGAAGCAAATTTTCTTATTGCACATCGGGGAAAAAAAAGTTTGTGAAATATTCAAATAATTGTATAGCTTGTTCACAGAATTATATTTTTCTTATATTTTTCTTTATTCTTTTAAAAGCTAGATCTTTATACGTATTTTAGGCAGAATTTGATTTTTAGTAGCCCATTGATACAATGGGTGAGATTAATAAAGCGAAGACGTATTAGCTTTAAAAAATTTCAATTACTATTCAAAAGTATTAACGTAGTTGGCGTGGTAACGATTTTCGGAATACGGCGGCTTAAATATGCAAAAACATGCAAAGCATTCATTGTAATATTTAAAGGGTAACACGAATCTTTATTTAGATTCCGCATCTATAATTGTTATGATAAGCACCTACAATTTATTCATGGTAAAACACTTATTCTACGAATAATTTATACTTGATTGATTTATTATGCGAAGGAAGTAAAATCGCTTCGATTCATTATTAACAAATTAACAAGAATTATCTTCATCCGTAAGTATAATTATTCGCAAGTGCTTGACTTTTAAATTCTTACGCAATTTCTGTTTCTCGAGTGCATATTGTTCTTCCCATTGATTCCCGTTACATACATACAGCTTGTGCGGTTTCTTCAAAGCGATAACAGATATTTCCTGAACAATCCATCTTCGGTCAAAAGCACAGTTAAGAAGAAAAAGAAGCTTCAATAGCTTTAGAGTTAACGAATAACCGACGAAGATATATCCTGCACAATGCACACGGTTGAGAACGATCTTCTTCCCCCGCCGTGGTCACGTTTTATTACGCGACCGGTTGATTTATGCTTGACACCCGCCGACCCTCGATAAATTCATTAAACCACGCGTATTCGTGTGATCGCGGGTGTATTTGTTACGCGCAGGGCTAGTCTCTGTTAACCTTGCGAGTGTGCCTTGGATTTTATTCGAACCATGCCACGGACCATGCAGCAACAATGATGGAGCACGTGTCCGATTGTTAATGGAAACTCGATTAATCAGAATGATGATGATCGTCTGCAATAGTACTCTCGTGTATTGCTCTTTAGTATGAAAGTACAGCAATTCGTAAAATTATCTTATGTTGTTACAACTTTTTTCTTTGGATTCTTGTTGGATACGTTCGTCTTCTTTTAATTATGTAAATCTTATAATTCGATCAGGTGTGAGGAAATTAAAATATTCGTAAAATTACGATACATTGATTTTCTTTCAACCGTAGATATTCCTGTGTCCCCGGCTCGTTTAGTATATATCTAAGAAGTTTCTGATATATCTTTTATACCTTAAGTTATCTTTTTCGCCAGTTGGATTAATCATTTCATTGGAACAGCTTCTGCGTGTTATGTGTCCTGTTAAAGAATTCTCTTACGTTAAGAAATCGACAAATGTTTGCTTCATCTTTAAGTTTAGACGAAACTCTAATAAACACGAATATTGTCCATTATTCGCTATCTGATACGAATAAATTTGTCGTCAACATCCGTTCTAGAGAATTACTGATTAACTTAAACGTACGTAAGATAAATGAAACGTCAGAGATAAGTGATATTTTCCTCGTTGATATCTAACTCGAAGACGATAGTGACTCGTTTCTCGTGGAAACGATGAATTTTCCCGGTAAGGCGCCAATAGAGGAGAGTCATGGTGGCAAGGGCAGAGTATTTTCGAATTCCAAACTCGCAGGCAAAGCTGACCATGTAAAACCGTGAGGGTCGATCGCGGAGGTATAGACTGTAGAATCGTTCATCGAGGACAGCGTTTGCTTGTCGGAACACACAAATGTTACGTAAGTTACGTGACAATATGTGTAATAATTTCTACTTGATCCTGTGGAATTATTGATAAACTCAATGTAAGAATTATTAATAAATCTGAGCCACCAGCTGCTTGTACGTGGGTCTTTCTCATCCTTGATAGTTTCGAATAAGGTTCTTCGATCGTTCTTTTGGCAATAATGTACCATAATGGAAAACACATTAATCGACAAGTTGCTGTGTGTTAATGCTGGTCGTTGGCAGATGTTTGAAAATCAATCGTACTTGAACGATGGTTAGTAAGTAAAGTTTCTTAATAATTTACTATGTTTTGAAAAACTCATTAGGATCAATAAACGTCATATCGCTAATGGAGATCTTTCAGAATTTTATAAACATGTAGGTATATCTAGAATCTTCATTTTGCAATGCTTTTTCGACTGGATTCCAATGTAACGAAATCAGATTTGAATTAATAGATATATCTCCAATGAAAGAAACGCAAAGATATGTTTTGCTAATGGAGCTGATTGTCATTCAAAAACAAAATTACAAAAACAAAATCTGACGTCAGACATTGATTAATCCTATAACGACGTAGCTTGACAGAGAGAGAGAGAGAGAGAGAGAGAGAGAAAGAGAGACTCATCAAATGTAGCAACATAAATTTCACATTTTAAATGTCACCGTGTATCTGTATATTTGTTTCTTATATGTAATTAAAGTAATGTATCTTTTGCATCTTGTACAATAGAAATCCGAGAAATTGTCTTCCTAAATCTGAATTCTTCGTCGTTTTATCAAAGGATTAAAAAACGAACGATGTCCTCGAGAATTCCGTAACAGCTCTAAAACAGAACCTTTACCATCGATCGACCGATGGTTGATCGACGTTATGCGTGTCAAGTTCACCGACTCGTTCGAAAAACTTACTTAACAAGCATGTTACGAGTTGCAGCGAGCTAGATGAAAGGCAACGAATCGAAAGCTCATTCATAGCCTGGTATTTTACTGAGCAAATATTACATCTGCCTGCGTATCGGTGAACGGTTGCCGGCACTCTCGGTACTAAATAGCTCTCCCGGTCTCATTGTGCAACATGTAATCGCGATTGAATCGAGAGAGAGAGAGAGAGAAGAGCTTGTGGTCCAGGTTACGAAAGGTAAACCAACCGGTGATGTAATGTTGCGAGTCGATTGCAAGATTCCTTCTTCGACGGGAGAAGCGAGTTAACCTGGTGGTGATCGTCCGCTCGAGACGAAATCTTCTCATGATCATCGCTATTTAGTTCTCGTACTTCTTAACGATGTTAAAGCTTTCGAAACTTGTACGTATCTCGATAATTGCCGCGTTTCGCAGTTCCACGTTTCAATTTAGTTGTTTGGCGATTGCTACATTGTAAATGTAGGATGGAAGAACGAAAATGATTCGAAATAATGTCTCTAGGATAATATGGACGAATATACTTAATAGTGATATTAGTAATTAGCAACGTCGATATAAGTAACGTATGAGTTTTATAGCAAATCCAATGGAGTAGAGAAGTTATAAAGTAGATTTCTATTTACTTTTAACGTAACGTATGTTATCTTCATTTGTGTACATATTTCGTATTTCGTGAATATTTTACTTTCTTGTCATATTATGTTGCTAAAAGATATCTTTCCTCATGGCGTTGAATTATGAATAACGTCAGGATGTATGTTCCATAACTTCAGGTAGCATAGTGAAGACCTTGTTCTTATTTTTTGGCTCCCATCTTGTAAATTCCAGCCTTGTTCCCATATACCAGCCTTGTTATATGTTCAAGATGTACATGAGTATGAATAAACTTGGTGGGCACTTAGTGAATCATCAACGTAATAAACGAGTTATTAAAAGAGTTAATTCCATTAAAGGGACATTAATAATAATTTAATTACTTGTTACACAAGATGAACTTCGTAAGAGGAATTATCATATTCATCTGGAATCTAGAGTACAACAATTATTTCTTCATCGGTTCAAGTTATCTTACTTTCGTTTCTTAGAATTCTTTCTTTCATTTCTTTGAACGTATTTTTAAGTCCCAGTTCTAGTATCACGCAAACGTGACAGATTTTATTACGGTATCACATGTCCCAGAACCATGTCGTTATTAGACGACTATACCACGTACGTTCAAACTAAC